TAAGACTGACGCGCGAATTCGAATAAAAAAGAAAATTCTATATTTTCTTTCTTCTCTATTTTTTTGGGCGGTGAGGTGAAGCTGTGATTATTTTATTTTATTTTTAATATGCCTCCTCATTGATATGGAAATGAAAAAGTTTGTCCCAAAGCATTCGACCCAAAAAACAAAGGTCAACTTAAATGGCTGGCCCAACAAAACTTGTGATAATTTGCCCAATTATCGCATACAAATTTCATAAATCTAAATCCAAGACCTCCATCCAACAACTTCAAATCACAAGAATTTGCATGTCATGGAGATAGTATTGTAGTTATTCTCAACCAATCATGTTTTGCCACGTGGAATTTCTATCACGTGTGGCATAACATAATTAGTTGGGGATTGTAAAATAGTGCTATCCTCATGATATATATGTTTTTCTCTAAAATCACATGGGAAAAAATTGCTACAAGGTTAGATTTCCCTTCCAAAATTTCATCAAATCTCCATCCAATCACAAATGATGTAGATGCTAAAAGTATGCTATGAAGCTGAGAAATATGGCACAAACAAGAACCTTGGCAGTTTATAGAAAACGAGCCGGATCTAATTTAGCTCACTTGTTCAGAAAAAAGGATATAGAAGCATTTATTTTTCAATTACTTTCTTCTACCTCCAGCGTGTTCATATAAATAGAAACAGAAAAAATCAAAAGAAAAGTGACATGATTTCATCAAATCACTGAGTCAGTAGCGTCTTCAATCCCCTAATCTTCACATGACTTGTAGTACAAGTACCACACCGAAATCCACACGATAACCTATGTTTACTATATAGCTACAAGTATAAAAGGATGTACTAAATTTGTTTCACCCTTCAGAACATTTTATATGTGACCTAGTGATTACAGGCTTTACAGCTTTTGAAGTCGCCTCACAACACTTTGTCCAACAATGGCTTGGTTTGAAGATTATCAACCTTGGACTTCATGTTACTAACAGTCTCACTCAGAGCAGAAGATTTAAGCTCAAGCTCCCTCAGGTGGGCTCTGGTTTCAGCAACCTCCTTTTCTTTCTGAGCCAAAACCTCCATTTGTGATTCTAGTTCTTTCTTTGTTGATTCTATATCGCGATCACAGTTGGCCTTTGCTGCTTCGAATGCTCGATGCTGACTGACAAGTTCGGTGGCTTCTGCACATTTGTTGATGATAAGACGAAGCCAACCAACATCCATTCCTGAGGATTCTACATCCTTGAGCATAGATAACATTTCTTTGACTTTAGGCTTTGTCAGCTGCTTGATTGAAGTTCGCTTCAACTCTTGAACCACATAACATACGCACTCAAGATAGTAAGAGCGGATGACAATTGATTCCAATTGACAGCTTGCTGCTATATCACCGTATTTGTCAACAATCGCCTGGAGAATTGAAGAGAAACTTCCTTTCACACGGTATTTTCCCACAGACACACTGGAATCAGAGTTAACAGATCGTGTCTCTTCTTCATCACTCTCTTCAAAAGGTTGGAGAGTACCTGAGAAACTAAAGCTTCTAGAATCTGAAGCTGAACCAGCAGCACCCTCTCCAGCATTGTTGACAGTAAGATTTGGAACAGAATGATGAAGATTTTCATTGTCTTCCCCATGACCAGGTAATTCACTAGTGACATCAGTAGCACCATTCTCTGGAGGATCTTTGGGATATTCAGGCTGTCAGAGAGAGATAACATGACAGGGGAGTCAAATTGATACGGAAAAAAAGACACAACTTGTAACAAATTTGTGTGTTAGCTCCTTTTTTTGGGGGGGTGTGTGGGGAGAAGAGAAAGAGAGGGAGCGCACCATGGTGATAATTCCAGATGGAGGCACTAACAGAGAGGACTGCACTTGTCCTTTGTTGAAAGAAGGATCTTTTACTTCAGAAATCGGTGGAGAATAAGATTTATGGTCACCATTCTGTAATTTCACCTTTTCCTTAGATGGAGACGAGGGTAAATCAGAAGGATAAAGTACACCTTCATCTGGTACATTTTCAATCTCTTCAGGGTGCTTTGGTTTGGATCCATGCTTTCGTCTGCCGAATATAGGATCATCAAGCACGGAGTCTGCAATTAAAACTGACCTTAAATTAGGAAAAAGAAGCATGAATACGTCTGCATCCATGTGTATATGGGAATGGCATGGGGAAGAGAACTGAATAAATAAATCCACAATCTGTCAAGTGGAAGAAGATGCATGCCCACCATTCCCTAGTTTCACTATTTCTTTAGATGAAGATGATGAAGAATCAGAAGGTTGGGATCCCTGCTTTCTTCTGCTGAAAATAGGATCATCAAGGATGGAGCCTGCAATCAAAACTGACCCTAAATTACGAAAAAAAAGCATAATTACATCTGCACAGTGCACCTATAGTATATGTGCATGGGAGGGGAAAGAGGAAATGCATAAATAAATCCACAACATGTCAGGTGAAAGAAGATTTACGCTTACCATTCTCTAAATTCACCTTTTCCTTATATGATGGAGCATCTGAATGATAAACTGCTCCTTGCCCAGAGACATTGTCAAGCTCTTGAGGGGGCTTTGGTCGGGATCTCTCCTTTTTTCTGCCCAATATAGGAACATCGAGTATGAAACCTGCAATTAAAATAGCCCATTAGAAAAGGGAACAACCAGGATTAGCTAACAATCAGGATTACAGTCCATGAGCATTATTTGCATTGCTGGTGGAAGAGGAATGAATAATTCACAATCTGTTTATTCCCTGCACAACGAGAAGAGGGCTTCTCTTGCCCAGGAGCTCATAGAAACTCCAGTTCATCATTTGGAAGAAGAAGATTTCCTTGCAGAACCTCAGGCATTCCTAAGGCAAACATGAGACTAGATTCTGTTTTTAGAATTACACACTGGCTATGAATTGATGGCATTTCCATTTCCCAGGACTGGGGGGTTAAAGTTTTGTAGGTTTTTCGTATGTAAGAAGGGAATGTCATGAAAGGTAATATAAAGTGATGGTGAAATAAATATCTTGCATGGGAAGAGCATCTAATTGTTGTCAAACAGAAAACATAGGTTTGACAATTGGAATGATTTTCAGCTCTGTATGAACAGCTTGCTCTCCTATGTGGTTTTTCAATTATTGCAGATATGGAAAGGAAAAATGTACAAAATTACTTAACACAGTGTATTGAGAGTTATCACACGAAAGTGGGGGAAAACCTGGTTCTTTTATATCCCCACGAGGTTTGGCACCACCGGTTTGTTGCAGGTAATATTCAGGGTCATGGTAAGGATTAGATGCTCTTCTATCGTCCGCTGCCTTTTTTTTGAACTCACCACCTTTAAAAGTGCTTCCATTATCTTTGAAAAGAAAAGAAAAGAAAAAAATTCTAAAATTTCCAACCTACATTCAGAAAATGATTAAAAGAAAAGACCCCTCAAAGAAGAAGAAACACTCTATGAGCCACTAATTCACTACAAGAAACAATCTCTAAACGAATAATTCACTGCACCTCGTAAGACCCTACTACTTCCTAATCAATCAAGACAGTAAAACATATCTGCTGCCCAGATAAAATTTGAATGAAAGCCGCAAGGTATACAAAATTTAAAGAGTTATGAGACTAAACAACATGCCAATCATTTACGCAAAACACAGAACGGATTATCCAATAAGAAATTATGTGAGCAACAACCAATGACATGAAATGTGTGCCAACAGGGGAAAACACGGGTACTCACATTTTAAGAAAAACTAGTCAGAATTTATAGTGAAAATGAATTTGCCAATCTTCAGTGTTCAAGCATATTTAATTACATTTATCTAAAAATAAAAAAAATTGATCCAAGAATACTAACCTGATTTCTTTTTAGTCTTCCGGCCTTTCCCTTCCTGAATCTTTCTCAAGCAATTTTCAGTGCATTCATGGTATGGATTGGATACATTTACGCAGTCAGGGTGTACTCTTCCTATCAAAGACATCTCTCTATTGAGCTCACCTACAAGGCTGCAAATTATAATTCCATTAAACAATTTTGAATTTTTATTAATCCAGACAATTGGAAGCTTCTGAAATTTTCTTTTCAAATCTAACAAATTTTCCTATAATTTTCTTCAAATTCCAAAACCTTTAGGTTCTCTCTAATATTTTGTACAGAAGTTCAGGAATAATCAGGCAGGCATACAATTGATAATCAATCATTCAACCGAAACAAAAAAAGCAACATGTCTTCTAATAAAATCATGAAAATTAACTCTCAGAAATACCGACAACTTCCATAAAGGTTCGTTTGGTTGCTGATAAAGTATAGTAAGAAAAGGGAAAAGAAAAAAAAAACAGATAAGAAAAGTTAAAATTGAACCTTTTACCATCAGGCAACCAAGCAAACAAGAATTAACATTCACCACTCAATTCAGGTCAATTTAACAAGTCAGCTAAGCTGACAAGATAAGATTTTTCATATGAAAAAAGAACCCATAGAACTTAAATCATAACAGAAGCTCAAGTCCCTTGGTATTCTCACTTTTTGCTCAGCAACCAAACAGAGTATGAAGAGCAATCTTCAAAAACATAAAAACATGCACACATAATTTCCTAAACTTTCTCATCAACTACCACAAGATCATTCATGGGCTTAAAGAATTTAGCATCTTTAACAGATTCCAATGAAAACCAACATCAGAATTCCACCAAAAATAACAACCAACAGAAAAAAAATATAAGGGCCAGAGTGAGAGAAAAGACCTTGAAATGAAATGGGTTTTGTGGGGACTTCTGTTCTGCTCTCCCAGCGATTCTATAGGAAACGGTTTTTGTGTGACGAAGAGCAGATGACTAAAAGTTGGTGGAGCACTCTTGTTTTGACCATGGGGATGACTAATCAGTTCTCTCTAGAAAGCAACTAATAAATTAAAAAACCCCGAAAAGTTCACAGGTTTTCCAATGTGAAAGTGTTTAATATTTTTCCAAGTTGATTATTATGTACTCCTGCACGGTAAAC